ACAACAACAACAACAACAACAACAAACGCCTCATTCATCCAATAGTAATCATTATTATAAGCATCACATGCCTTTCCGCCGTCATCTCCATCATCATCTTCCTCATCCTCATCATCACCATCACCATCACTACCTCTACGCTCCACTCTGCAGCAGCTGTGCTTTGCATTTAGCATTAGCCCCATTTTAGCAACTGTGCATTTAACTTCCCCTTCTCTTCTCCTTCTGTCTTCCTAGGTGATGTGTTGATAAGCACTTTATCAAACNATCATTGTTTTGTATTTTATTGTACTTTGCTTGTTTTCCCGGTTTTACAGTTTGCTCACCTTTTTGGCAATTTATACATTGCGCTTATTAGCGTTTCAAAATTGAGATGATAATCTCAGTGTGTTGTTTTATATAATGACCTCTGCAAAGCACAACTTTTCTCGCTACAAAGTTGTCTGAAAGCAGTACGTGAAAAAAGTGACAATCAACCCCCGCGACCGTCATCAATCAGTATTTTGTTGGTGTTATCTTATGTCAACCGCCCTTGAAGATAAAATCAGTCACGATGAAACCTGAAAGTGCACGAAACCTGCCGCCCATCTACCGGCTGCCAGACAAGACTGTCCTTGCAAAGAAAGTAATCAGCGATTTTGTCGTCATATTTATTCGTAAGTTGTATAGTTTTTTAATTATTGCACTCATTCATTCCTTATCATTAATCACTTGCACTTTAATCAATGCACAATGACAGTCCTCCTGGGCATAATTCTCTTTTACGCCATCGGTCAGCCCTTTCACCGAGGCTTCAACTGCGACGATGACAGTATAAGGTATCCGTACAGAAACAACACCATCTCAGGCACCGCCAACTACCTCTACTCCACTTTGATTCCCGCGGGAACGGTAAATTCAAAGGGAGATTTCGAGTCAAAAAACTAATCCAAAAATTATCTTTTCACAGTTCGCCGTCAACGAGTTTTTCATCATTCGCTCGCACTTCTCTGCCCACTCTGATGCTCTGAGGCAACCTCTTTTTTGGCGTTTTTACGGATGGCAGGTATATCTGCAATTGATTCCCCTTGGTTTTGCCGCCACCACCTCTCAGTTCCTGACCGACGTGAGCAAGTACAGCATCGGCCGTCTGCGGCCGCACTTCATCGACCTCTGTCGGCCGCAGCTGCCCAACGGCCTCGTGATGGACCGCTTCAGCAACTGCCAGAACCCGCACACCTACGTCACCGAGTACACCTGCTTCAAGGACAACCTCAGCATGAGCAGTCGCAAGATGAAGGACGTCCGCCTGTCCTTCATGTCCGGCCACTCCTCCTTCGCTGCCGTCTGCCTCGTCTACCTGGTGCTGTACCTGCACCTGAGAATGCGGGCCGCCCATCTGGCGCTGGTGAAGCACCTCTACCAGGCGGCACTCCTTTACCTCGTCTTCTACACCGGCATGAGCCGCATCTCCGACTACAAGCACCACTGGAGTGACGTCCTTTGCGGCCTGCTCCAGGGCACGCTGGTGGCAATTTTGGTGGCCTACTTTGTCGGGGACCTGGTGAAGCCACGCAGCTACGAGAACATGCAGCAGATAACGGTTGGTCAGCTGATGTCGGGCAGTAGCAGTGGTGGTGTCAATGGAGGCAGCAGTGCCGCCAACGGGGACAGCAGCAGCAATGGCGCCTTCAAGGACATCCATCAGGTGGAGTCGGGAGTTTGATGGTGATGGTGCTGATGATGTTTTCTACTTTTTGTTGATCACCCTTGGAGTCACCTCTCAAATAGTATTACTAGTATTCTTTTCTTGTTATTCGTTTTCTCTTTTGTACAAATCTTTCACATTGCCACTATTTTATTAAAGTTGTTCATTTACTTTTGTAAACAAAAATAGAGGGATGCCAAAAGGCTCTCATCTCTTTTGTGCGTAGTGATACTAGTAAAAGTGCTGCATGTCGTACAACAGGTGATGTACATTTTTATACGGTAGCTGGGCTGGAGTTTTACCCGTATTGAAAAAGTTATCAGCTAATGATACTTTTGCTGTGAGTTTGTTTTTATTTTTTGAAGTTGAGAAGGTAGACGCTGGCAGCATCATCAGAGAAAACCCTTGATTGCCTGCTTCTTTCTTGAGAAGCATTTGTAAACGTTCCATTTGGACCAAAAAACTGGTTAACCGTGAGCCCATGCCAAGCATGGCAGCCACGCCAAAAGCCACGCCAATAGCGATCACGACCTCACTGATGGTTGGATTGGTGAGAAAGTTGGCAGTGCTATGTCTTCTTTCAAAAGCATCTTTTAAGGCAGTTTTTTGTTGACCTTTTTTGTGATGATGATGAAGCATTGATGCGTCAAAGATGATCAAGTTTAAAATACAAAATAAAAATGAACACTT